GGGAATAAACCAGCAGATGAAAGGCCTTTCTCTCTCTTTTTCTTTGCCTCTGCCATTCAAATAAATAAATCTTTTTAAAAATCAGTTGGTAGCCAAAACTAAAGCAGCATGACCATGAGAGAGGGACCATTAGACCTCCAGTGGACAGCAGAATGACTGGAGGACTTTCTTCCCCTTGCATACCAGTACCTGACCCTGGTCACGCAGCTCATTCTGTATTTGCTCATGTACATTTTGGTCCCCTTTCCTTTACTGGACAGCTTGGATGTTAACATAACGTTAGCCTGCCATTTCCCACAGCTTGGACGTTAAGGCCTTGGTCCACCACTTCCCAGGTTGGCAGAAGACTGAGTTCATTGTTTCCTTTTCTGTCTCTAAGTCCTTGTCCTCTGAGTTACTGGATTCTCTTGTGACGAGTACCGGATTTAGGTTCAATAACATAAAGGAGGTCTTTTCTCAACATCTCTTATGTATCAGCCATTGAATTGGCAAATCCTTAAGAGACGGTAACATCAAAAGGGACTGAGAGCAGTGGCAGACTTGTGGTGAAGTTTGAGATGTCGGCATCCCATTTCAGAATGCCAGTGCACCCCAGCTGTTCCACCTCTGATCCAGCGTGCTGCCAATGTACCTGGGAAGGAAGTGGGAAAAGGCCCAAATATGCAGGCCCATGCCACTCACGTGGGAAACCTGGATAGAGTTTTTAGCACCTGGCTTTAAACTGGCCCAGTACTGGCTATTGCAGGCGTTTTGGAGAGTGAAGTAGTGGAAGGAAGATCTTTTTCTCTGTCTCTCTCAATGACTCTCTCTTGCTCTCTCTTTCTCTCCCCCTCTTTCTTCCTACCCACCTCCCCATCGCTAGCCTAGCCAATAAATCAGTAAAAATGAATCTTAAGAAAACGGTACAATTGGGAAAACAGTGAATACTCTCGTCCTGAGGATATCAATTGGTGCTTCCTCTTTGAAATCCACTTATCAAGGGCTATTTAGTGTTCAAATGCATGAGGGTTTATTCACAAGTTAATGGAATATGTGTATTAATGAAAAGCTATGAGCAGATTTCCAAAATTTTGCAGCAAAACAAGCATGTCTCTCAACACGGTTTTCCAGGGTCTTGTTGAAGTACCCTCATATATAGTCTTTTCTCCCAATTCCATTTCTGTGTCTCATCCCTGGGGAGACACAACCTCTGTGAGCAAGGATATTGGAGAAACATTTGAAACCTTTAAAGACTGGAAGAAAATGAAGTTCACTGTGTGTGGAAATAGTTAAAGAATCGGGGCACACCGCATAGAACACTATGCAGAACTTAGAGATGATGAGACGGTTCTCCACCATCTCTTGGGAAATGTTCACCCAGACTTAGTATACAATGCAACAAGCCAGTACCACACAACAGGTGTAGCTGGTCAATATGTTTCCTCAGGATCCCAGTAAACAGAAGCAGGTGTTTCTATGAGGGCATGGATGTGAACATAACTGTGGTGATTGAGGAAACTGATCATAAGGAGGCTGGTAATGGAGTGGGTGAATGAGAAAGAGCACTGTTTCACCTGTGTTCTTTGAGTGGTGTGCAGTGAGAATGTACACAAAGATTCCATATGCAAATAAGACATTAGAAAAGTAAGCGACATACTCCTATTTGGTAGGCTTTAATAAAAAAGTAATGCTGTTACTTGCAAAAATAAGACTCACTTCCCCTCTCATAGCAGCCTCTGAGAAACAAAATTTTATTGAGCTCCTCCGATGGACCAAGTGCATTCACACATGCAGTTACCTGTAATGCATGCCATCGAATCCCAGGAGAGACAGGGTCCAGGGGCCTCCTCCCTGCAGCATTCATTCCAAATGCAAAATTCAACTGGTTCTTGAAGCCCTACACTCTTGTGCAGGTCAGCTCCTTGTGCAGCTGGGGTTGACATGGGGAGTGCTTCTCGATGTGACTCTCATCCACAGTGTGAGGGGTCTTGTTACCTTCGCTTACAGCCCGCCCTTGACCCTGTACAACTCGGGGTCCTGTCACGGCAGTTCCACAGAGGCCACTCATTTTCTCGAGGGAGACTCAGAAGAAAAAGTTGCAGCAGGCTAAGCAAGGCCGTCAGCTTCACCCTGCCTGAGGCTCCAGGGCAGGAGCAGTCTGGCCACCCAAACCAGCTTGGGACTCGTCTCTTGGAAAATCTCAACATCTGTGACTTAGTCTGCTCAGGCTGCCATGACAACATACACAGACTGGGTGACATCAGCGACAGAAATCTAATTCCTTTGGGTTCTGAAGGCCGGGAAGTCCGAGATCAGGAAGCTGGTGGCTACAGTTTGTGGTGAGGGCCGCCTCAGCGGCTTGCTGCTTTCTCCCTAGATCGTCATTTGGCCTTTCCCTGTTGCTTGTGAGCTGAGAGAAAGAGACCAACCTCTTTGGTGTATCCATTAATAAAGACACAAATCCCATCAGATCAGAGCTCCACCCTTAGGATCTCATTTACTCTTCACTGCCTCCCAAAAGCCCCAGCTCCAAATATGAGGGGTCTTCATAACCTTCATGGAATGCCTCCGTTATGAAAAAGCCTCAGCATGGATTTCAGGGTTGTCTGCACTAAAATTAATTCCATGTTTTCCTCCAGCATTTGAAATACCCCCTGCGGCCACACTGTAAATTGTGGGGGGACAGAATCCAGTCCACAGCAGTCGACAAAAGTTTTTGTTGCTGACTTTGCCTTTCTAGTGCCCTGCGTCCCTGCTATCCAAATGTCCCTTCAGTGTTCCAAGGTGGCTGCCTTGAGAAACCGACTGATATGCCTGGCCCCTCATGCAGCCTACTACCACATCACCATGCACAGGTGGATTGAGTGCCCCAGCCTGTGACTCCTTCCCATAGATATCACTGCCTTAACCATCATTACAGACGTCAGGGTCCCCGGCCCAGACCCTGGGCATACCAGGGAGCATCCTGACCTTGGGATTGATCTGTGCCCCTAGGAAAATTCACTCCTTAACTGCAGCAAAGGGGGCTCAAAGACCTGGGGAGGGGGGTAGGCGGAGGGGGACGAGGGACTTTATTTCCGTGTGGTTCTGCCATCTGGTGGTCAGTTGTTACATCCACAAGTGCACCAAGGGAAAGCCAGAGTTTGATTAGGGATATAGCACAGAATTTGGGTCTTTGCTCTCCGGGAATGTAGGGGTCTCTTCAGGAGTTGGAAGAAGCTTTCTACTTACCAGTGGAGTGTCCTTATGTGAGGATGGAATTTGTGCATGGACACAACATTGGTTACTGGGGTCTTCACTGTTTTGTTTTTAGGTTAGCGATTTAAACCTAGTTTAATCAAGCATTTAGACACAATGGACAAACCAGGTGACTTTATTTATCTAGCTAGTCATATATAAGAACAAGAGACATCACTTTCACTTGTTCATGGGCTCATGTTCAACTAAACCCTAAGCTGCAGGGGGTAGGTTCGAGAAAACCTAATTGTAACGAATTCAAGAAGAAAGGGAGGTTTCCAGAACAGGAGATCCATTCACTTCCCAATGGGGTTTCTTGGTATTTGGCAAAATGGGCTGGGAAAGTCACAAGATTTTGGTAAGGATTCTTTTGCAATTGTGGGCTCGTTACATAAATGAACACTAATGGCTGTTTACCTGTGATTTGCACAAGAGTTCTAAGAATCTCAGGGCTGTCTGGGAGCAATAGAACACCCTCCTCAAGCTCAAAGGACCACTCAGACTTGGTTCCAATGCCCATAAATTTTATAGTCTCTTCAGCCAGTAGGTCTCTTCAGCCAGTGGTCTCACTGCAGGAAAGGGATCTTCATGTGAAAGCCTTCAGTGCTATTAGAGTTCTTGGCACTCTCTTCCTGCACACTTCCTGGCCTCATCTCCAGCACTCTGGTTCCACCTAGAACTCTGGCGTGGCACCACAAGGGCAGAGGTGATTGCCGTGGTCCATTCGTAGGTTTGCAGTTGACAAATATGCAGGGCTCAAATACATAAGGCTGCACTTGTCTCCACAGGATGAAGATATACAGAGCCTTCAACACCCATCCGTGGTTCAGAAAACTATACATAACTCTTGCAACTTCATCTATAGGGTTCAAGTCTTCACGGTGGAAAAACCAACACACAGGAAAAGGAAACTTAAGCAGTGGCCTGTTGTCCCTGTCTGCCCGAAACACGGAGGCATATTTTGACACAGGGGCTTCAGTTTCATTTTTATTTTTATTTGTAAGTCACAATTACAAAGGAGGGAGGGAGGGTGGGAGAGGGAGAGGGAGAGGCAGAGGGAGAGGGAGAGAGACTCAGTTTTAAAAGTGGAATGGCTCGGGGCCAGCGCTGTGGCTCAGCAGGTTAACACCCTGGCCTGAAGTGCCAGCATCCCATATGGGCGCCAGTTCTAGGCCCGGCTGCTCCTCTTGCTCCTCTTCCTATCCAGCTCTCTGCTGTGGCCTGGGAAAGCAGTAGAAAATGGCCCAAGTCCTTGGGCCACTGCATCCACGTGAGAGACCTGGAAGAAGCTCCTGGCTCCTGGCTTCAGATCGGCGCAGCTCCGGCCATCGCGGCCATCTGGGGAGTGAAGCATCGGATGGAAGACCTCTCTCTCTCTCTCTCCCTCTTCTCTCTCTGTGTAACTCTGACTTTCAAATAAATAAACAAAAATCTTTTTTAAAAAAAGTGGAATGTTCCCAAGCAAAGTGGACCCGTGAGTGACCCAACACATACTGAACGACTCACGAAAATGAGCTACCCTTAGAGGAGGTCTGCAATGTGTTTTCACAACGAAGCCCCCGCCCTGAGCTGTTCTGCTCAGGAGTAAGAAACCTGGCTGGAGTTTGCCGGGTGCACCAGAGGAAGGAAAAATGATAAACAGAGATGTTCCAGAGGCTGGGAGTAAGACACTCAGGAGCAGAAGGGAGGTCACATACCAGAAAAGTATCCACTGGGTGAGCACAGTGCACTGGGCTGCAGGAGGGAGGAAGATAGGGCGGGGACAGAGAAGAGGGGGGCTGCGGAAGGGGCTGGAACCTGGGGCAGGCGTATTTGCACCCAGCACAGTAAGAAGCTGCGCTGGTCTCCAGGGGGTCCTGTTGTTCCTCTTGCTGCACCCACACTCACAGAAGCATGATCTTCTCTCCCTTCATTCCTCCTGCTGCCCGGGTGAGTCTGGTTTCCATCATTGTCGCAGGGTGTCTTCCAGGGTCCTGGGTGTAGTCTGTGCTGGTCGCTGGTGTATCCCACGGGCCTCAAACAGTGTCGAGGATGCACAAAATAGCTATGGGAACAGGTGGTGGGCGCTGGGGGAAGGCAGGGCCTGTTAACATGAGGCTATTGACTCTGATTTGCAGATTGTAAAAGGCCTGCAAGAAGGCCCTGGGAATGTGCTTGTCTGGTCCGATGCCACACAGCACCCATCCAGTGGCACCAGCTGGTTCAGGGAGCCTGCTCCTCTGCGAGGGTCTTGGAGGATCCGGTTCCAGAGAGTCCTGGCAGGCTTCACCAAGTGCTTCAGGTGAGAACTCACAGCCAGTCCCTGCCTCTCACTGCTCTCAGCCCAGCCCATTGCCTCACTTCCTGTCCCACCAAGAGGATGCCAGCCCTGCCCTGAATTCCCCAGGGCTGCCAAGGGCTCACCAGTCCCTCTGCTTTCCTTTGTAGGGGAGGGTACCGGACTCTCGAAAACTGCGACTGAGGAGGAGCCACAAACATAGCCATGAGCAGTGACCAAGACCCCTCTGCTATCCAGACTCCATGCTTTCCCTACTTCCCCCGCCCCTGCCCTTAATAAATCCTGGAACACTTGACTGCTTTGGTTTCGATATATGAGGTGACTTTTCCCACGGATGTCAGCCTTGAGTTGGGGTTGATGCCTTGGAGGAGTGTCGCTCCCCCTCTTCATGGAGGAACGACACTGAACCCTGGCTAGGCGTCACATCCGAGTCACGACACCATTATGTCGCTCCCCCTCTTCGTGGAGGAATGACACAGGACCCTGCGCTGTTCTTTTGTTGCTGGTTCTTCCTGGGTTGGCTACCGTCCCTTCCACCTCCGTGGAAGGGCGGTTCCCCCTAGCCACTTTCCCCACTTCCGCGGGGGAGCGGCACACCGCCGGCCGGCTCTCTCGGGGGCTGCACAGGTGTTCCTTCAGATAGATGTTCCCCTTAGATGTTCCTGGTGCATGTTGTCTCTCTCCTCCTTTATAGTCCTCTTCCACCAATCCCAACTCTGCTACCCACACGCCGAGTACACCGCTCTCCTCCAATCAGGAGCAGGTCCTACAGTTTATTGGTTGAACTGGAGGCAGCTGCGTAGAAGCTGCTTCTCCCTTCTCAGCGCCATATTGTGGGAGAGCAGATGCATAGAATAAGTCTTAATTCCAGTAACTTAGTCTAGTCCGAGTTGCTCCCAGTTGCTCCCCACAGATCCCCCTTTCTTTTTATTTTTGGCGTTGATACGCGCCTGTCTTCGGTGCCCCGCGGCACACACTCTGCTCTGCTTGCTAGAGTTGCCCACAGGTGCTTACAAGCCCTATCAATCAGGCAAACCGAATCCAGGTCCTCTCTTCGCCATGTTGTGAGGAGGTTTTTAGGCGCTGATGCGTGCCTGTGTTCGGTGCCCTGCAGCGCATGCTCTGCTCTGCTAGAACTGCCTGCAGGTGCTTATCGCCTACTCAGGCAGACCGAATCCAAGCCCTCTCATTGCGGTATTGTGGGGAGACTTATTGATGTTAATTCGTGCCTGTCTTCGGTGACCTGCGGCGCATAAGCTGCTAGCCGCCCGCAGGTGCTCACCACCTCCCTAATCAGGCAGACCGAATCCAAGCTCTCTCATTGCCATGTTGAGGAGAGGCCTTATTTTTCTCTATTTCTCTATCTCCGGGCATTCCTATCTCTCCCATTTTACTTCTATCTGCCAGCATTCCTATTTCTCTCATTTTACTTCTAAATTTCTGTTTCTGTTATCCCTGCGGCTTCCCGGCGCCCGCCCCGAGGCTGCTTCTCGGCGGCTTCCCGGCTCTGAGCCGCTTCAGCCCGCGCTTCTCTCATCTGCGCGGCTTCCCGGCGCCCGCCCTGCGGCGGGCTCCCGGCTCTGCGCAGCTCGGCTTCGCGCGCACACTCCGCGGTTTCCACGCCCTTCGCGCCCGCACCACAGCCTCGCGCCAGCCCCGCGTTCCCTATCTATTCATGCCCCGTGCTCTCTCTGCATGCGGCGGCTTCTGCGAATCACACAGTGTAGCTCACGTTTCCGCCGCCGGCATTCAGTCCAAGTTCCCCGGACTAACCTGGCGAATTCCAACCTGGCGGCCCACGTCTCTGCCTCTGGTTCCAGATTTTCGCCTTTTGCTCCCCAGGCTGACTTGAAGAATTCCAAGCTGGCTTATGTCTCCGCCTCGGCCTGCACTCGCGGCTTCATCCTCCCTAACATTTTTCTCTACCCGGTATGTTTCCCTAAGTTTTCTTCCAACAACATTCCTCCCTCATTTCTCCTGGCCTCTCCCCACAGTCCGTATCCAAGTCTAAGTTTCTTATAGGTTTCACTTTCACTTTCAACCTGCAGTCCGTATCTGAGTCTAAGTTTCTTCTTGCTTTCACTTTAAATCCTAACTTCTTTCCCACAGTCCGTATCCGAGTCTATGCCTAGGCTTTCGATAGCTTCTTCCGGCACCTTTTCTGTCCGGCTTTTCCCTAGGCTCTTTGCTAGTCTCTCTCTCTGGCATTTTCCACTTCTTCCCGTTTCTTCCCTCCTAAGTTTCCTATCCGAGTCACGGCACCATTATGTCGCTCCCCCTCTTCATGGAGGAACAACACTAAACCCTGCCTAGGCTTCATATCCGAGTCACGGCACCATTATGTCGCTCCCCCTCTTCGTGGAGGAACGACACAGGACCCTGCGCTGTTCTTTTGTCTGCACGGCCCTCCCCGGGTTTGCTGCTGGTTCTTCCCGGGTTGGCTACCGTCCCTTCCACCTCCGTGGAAGGGCGGTTCCCCCTAGCCACTTTCCCCACTTCCGCGGGGGAGCGGCACACCACTGGCCGCCTCTCTCGGGGGCTGCACAGGTGCTCCTTCAGGTAGATGTTTCCCTTTAGATGTTCCTGGTGCATGTTGTCTCTCTCCTCCTTTATAGTCCTCTTCCACCAATCCCAACTCTGCTACCCACACGCCGAGTACACCGCTCTCCTCCAATCAGGAGCAGGTCCTACAGTTTATTGGTTGAACTGGAGGCAGCTGCGTAGAAGCTGCTTCTCCCTTCTCAGCGCCATATTGTGGGAGAGCAGATGCATAGAATAAGTCTTAATTCCAGTAACTTAGTCTAGTCCGAGTTGCTCCCAGTTGCTCCCCACAGAGGAGGGAGGCAGTGAATGGGGGGAGGTAGCCTCTTCTCACACCCTGTAAGGCTGTCCATCTATTCCTCAGGTGACTTTCCCCACTAATGTCAGCCTTCAATTGGGGTTGAGGTCTTGGAGGAGGGAGGCAGTGAATGGGAGGAGGTAGCCTCTTCTTGCACTCTGGAAGGCTGTCCATCCACTTCCTGAGACAGAGCTGCTTGTTCCTTGGTTGTGGTGGAAATGGGTCATGGCCAATCAGCAGTGCAGTGTCCACAGGTGACAGTTCTGACCCCAGTGTCCCTCATGTGCAGGGAGGAAGAAGGAATCAGATCCCTCACCCTCTAGCAATGCACACAGTCTTCCTACTTAAGAAGCACTGGGTGGATTTCCCATAGAGGTTGGGAGGGGTCAGGTGGAGGAAGAACCTGAGCATCTTAAGAAAAGGTCTTGGGCCCATGCTCTCATGACACACTCCCAAGAACCACAAGACAGAACCTCCACTACCAATGGCCTCATCTCCAGTACAGAGTGCTCATTTTCATAAGATGAGAGCATCCTTCATGCCTGAGTTGACATGATGTGTCCTGCCACATAACATCCATGGCAGAAGTCCACTAGGAAGGCTATAGATCATAGTTGCCCCTTCAACCAACCTGCAAGAAGGAGGCTCTGTTGGAAATTGCTGCACCAAGAGTCACTCAAGCAAGTGTAGGAAGGGTGGCCCTTTGTGTCTGAGTAATGGGTGACTGGGTCTCACAGTGGCTTCCATCAAATCACAATGAAGTGTTTTCTTATGGAAGGGGGGAGCCGGATCCCACTGGGGTCTCCAAATTGGGGCCTTCGGCTCTGGCTCTGCAGGGTCAGGTGGTTTAGGGCCTCTGCCTGTCCAGGGGAGACACACTCTGGAGGGGGCCTCCCACAAGAGGGTGGACCACCTCCCTCATTGCCCTGCTTTCTCTTTTCTTTTTCCCAAGAATGAAAGAAACCTGCAAATCACTGGCGGTTTTCTGCAACCAAGTCTTTCTCATGCCTTTTCAGAAAGATGTTATATTGATAGCAGTGACGTTGGTCTTTGCAGATGGGCAAGAGTTTAAGACATACCCACATATTGGGGCCCACGGACTTGGTCCTGGTCATGGAATAGTATTGCCTATTCTAAAGAACCTCTTGGGGCTGTGGCTCATTGACCATTGCATCTTCACGAGTATCGTGTTGCAACTTGGAGGAGGGCAAGTCAGACAGAAATGTGGAAAAGCTGCCATCTCTCCCTGTGCAAACACATTTACACCCTGCAGATCTGGCGATGGGTGTGTCCTTCGATGGGGGGGTAGGGGACTCGGCCTGTCGTGAAAAGACCTTAGATTGATGTGCACATCATCAGCCCCAACTATCTGCAACACAAACCCAGTTAGTGCTCTTACAAAACACTTCTCCCATTCACCTCAGATGGCCCACTTAAATACTATGATGTCTTTCCCTCCACTCCCTGCCCTTGGTGCCCAGGGAAGAAATTGAGTGACAGGTTGCAGTGTGATGTTCCCTGAGCTCCACACACCCTGGAATGGACCCTGAGAGAACTGGGGCTAGGATCCCAGGTGTATGCTTCTAGGACCACAGAAAGGCTTCCCAAGGCTGACAGGCAGAGACGTAGACATGCACAGCAACTGGGAAGTCCTGAAAGTAATTCTAGGCCAATTTTGACAACCGTCATACCCACCAGGGCCTTCTCAAGACAAGAACACCAGTAGCACTTTACAAACCACGCTGGTGTGGGCATTGACACTGGGAGAGGCTGTGCTTTCACCGGAGCCCTCCCTGCTCACAAAACCTCTGGAGCTCCTGGGCCAACCCAGTTAGGTTTGAGCTCCTCAGTCTGGCCCTGCAGGTTCTTCCTGATTCCTTTCCAGGCTAACCTGGCCAGATCGCTAACACCTACAAGCAGGTCCCCTCCACATAAACAGGATTGCCCTTACATGCTCATGTCCAGACCTTTGTTATTAACAAAATCTAACAGCAGGGGTAGGCATCTGGCCCAGCATGTTAAGCTGCTGCTTCGTGGGCATCCCATATGGGAGAGCTGTTTGGAGTGCAGCTACTCTGTTTCTTATCCAGTTTCCTCTAATGCACCAGGAAGGCTGCAGACCATGGCCCAAATACTTGGGTTCCTGCCTCTCATGTGGGAGACTTGGAAGGAGTTCCTGGTTCCTGGTTCACCGTGGCCTCACCCTGGGTATTGCAGACAATAGGCGAAGTAACCTGCAGGCTGAATTCTCTCTCTCTCTCTCTCTCCCTCTCTCTCTCTCTCTCCCTCTCCCTCTCCCTCTTCCTCTCCCTCTCCCCTCCCTTTCCCCCCTTCCCTCCTTCCCTTCCCCCTCCCTCCTTCCGTCCTATCCTCCCTCCCTCCTTCCATCTCTTCCTCTCTCTCTGTCACTCTCCCTTTCAAATAAATAAATCTTTAAACAAGGTCACTTCAGTCAC